ATTATCGTGTGTCAAATGAACCAATATAACTATAAGATTTTGAAACTTTTTCAGAGGTAATTAAAAGCACTTACAAAATATACGAATAACAAGTAACTAAAATATTATTTATAAAATATACATGCCCTAGATACGTGTCTCGTACTCGGAACTTGATTCAGATACTGTCTGTCTATGATATGGTGAAAAACACTTTTTAACAATAGCGCGATGTAAAGCACGTGATGCATGAAGCTCAACATGCTGCCTAGCATTAGGGTTAGATGTAGCATATATCTAAAAGGAGTAAGTTCCTGCACGTCAACTTACAGATTTTCGGTTTGCAATACTTTAATTGTGGAATCTAAGACCCCTGACTAGTCCAAGGCAATCACGGCTTCCTCATTAGCCCATATTGATATGCGACCAATTTACTAAGGGATATATATGTTTGATTATAAATAATTTATAGAATGTACTGAAAGGAACAGGAGAATAACTATTACATGAAGCCCGCATCGAGATTCCAACAGAAACATTTATAGGCATCAACATTTTCAAAGGATGTATAAATATAAAAAGTTCGCCTCCTCTGTGTAATTTTGATTAATTGTTGGATACGTTCTATATCAACAGTCCTAGTTGCTTAGTATAATATAAGACAAAAACAGTATCTAACACAGCAATAGATATTTTTCGACATGTGGTCATCGCCACAGTCATCTCCTTTCACTAGACATATTATTCGATCAACTTGATATTTTTTTTTCTCTGTAAAAAAATGCTGAGAGAAGAACAAATGAGAGCAAGACAAAATATTAATTATTAGCTTTTTTCTCGATATAGTTAATAACATCTAAACGACAAGCAGAATATAATTTTGTAACAATGTCCTAGATATTATATATTCCTTTAGAAATAAAATTGTTCTTAAAAATCGATTTTGAATAAGGAATGAACAGGTTTCCAAATATTTGGAGTATTTTTGCGTTAATTTTGCGTGAAATATAGGTAATCTTTGGCGGGAAATGTGTGGCAACCTCTTCTGTGCGCATAAGCGATTCGAGAAATTATTAGTTTTTTCGGCTGCAGTTGTTTTTTCCTTCAGCAGCAATAAGCGTGGTGGGGTCGTATCTACTATGTTGTTTTGAGTTGAACAGATATAGATTGTTCCTATGAAATACATTGTGAGAACGAAAAGAATTACAACGCTTACATCATACTCACTCGATACATGCATATTTATCGAAAAATAAACTAATTGAAATATAACTAGCTTACTAATGTGAGTATTACCCATATCGACTCACTGATAATATATTTTAGGCATTCGACTTTGTGTTGACATCGCCATGGAAAACAAGCTGGTGGTTTATATCAATTTAGTTGTTGCGGATGAATAAGTACTCTTGTATTGTGTGAGTAAAAAATAACTATATTTGTCACAAGGAGTCGAAAAAAGTTGTTGGTGTCGTATTATATATCAAAAGATATATATAGAGAATATTCTTTCTTAATATCTTTATTGTTGCACTCGTCTGTATGAGAACATTAATCACATTTTGTTGTTAAAAACTTCTATTTTAAGTTATTGGACCATGAGTTGAGTATGGAGAGGGATCCTTTTATAACTTTGTAACGAGAATAACCTATTTTGTCAATTAAAGTAAAAGTTGGTAGCACAATATTTATAGTGCATTTATTTATTGGTCCTATAAGTTCGACTAGTGTAGTTTCTATATAAGGTTGATGGCATGCTTAGCTGTGCCACGGCGCGGTCATTAAGATTTAATTAAAATTATATCCTTAAAATTTATTTCTCTTATTTTAAACAAGACTCTATACTTGACTTGTTTGAGTACTTGGATGAAGGGCTGTATCGAGAGTGCTAGGATGACACATTTTCCCTGTATTTAATACCGCAGCAGAACTAACTGAAAGGAGTCGTGGAACCTGTTTGTGAAATTTATTATGGGAGCTATATGAGTACAGATACTTTCCGGAGAGATAAACGGGATACCATATTTGACAATACGTTTTTTAAGAATGCAAAATCAATTATGTCAATATAATTAATTATGTATACTAACAAAATGTATCCAGTTGGATGTCTTAGAAATATTCACGTGAGAGATTACTAATAATATATATATATATATATAATATATAATATTATATATATATATAATATATATATATAAAATTTTTTGGATATTTTACTATATATATATATATATAATATTAAAAAAACTGATACATTTTTGAAATTATAATTTTGAATAATTGATTTTGCATTTCTTAAAAACATAAATAATCCTTGATCTCCAAATTCTTCTCTTTAGCCATAATCAATTTCACAAGTTCACACATCTTCCATTCTGTGTTATTAATACAGAAAATTTAAATACTTTTCAACTACCAAATACTCAAACAAGTCAAGTATAAGTCTTTATAAAATAAGAGAAATAATTTTAAGATATAAATTTAATTAAAGATATTAATGACCGACCAATCGTAGACATAACTATTAATTTAACTACATGACCAATAAAACCATAATTTTCATCACCAAAATAATACAATCTTCTAAAATTAAAATCCCCCACTATTAAGTAATAAATTAAATAGAAAGTACAACAGTAAGTCCAGCAGACAGAAAAACTAAATTAAAATTTCTTTTAATTTTAAAACCCAAAATTAACTCCTTCAAATAAAATATACACAAAAAAAGCATGCCACATACAACTAAATTGAAAACCATTTACAATTACAAAAATCAATGCTTATATTAATGATCTTGGTGATCTGAAGTATTTCATTATATTTTCATAAATATGCATGTTCAGAGTGTATGTTGTAATTCTATTGTTCCAGAATTTCATAACATCAATCTTCACTCAAACTAACCCATTTGTTGAATACTGAAAATTCAGAAAAATACCCTTTTTAAGACCTTTCTTTAAAATGTTACACAAAAAAGTTTTAAAATTTGTCTTGCCCATGTCTTCGCAGTTTTCTAAAGAAATACATTGACAAAATGTATGTGGGAGTGTGGGAGCACATGTGGAAAAAATTATTTGTGTGTTTTTTGTATAGAAAGAATGCTGTTTGAAATGTTCCAACATTACAACAAATATATTACACCCTATGCCTATAAATGTATTACTGTTTGAATTAAGTGTATTTTGTGTCCTTTCAGTCATTTCTATAAGTTTTTATCAACTGATACCTATATGCCTATACAATGGCTTGGAAGCCTATTGCCTTGGAATATAGGGGTCTAGATTCCACATAAGTGAAAACAAACTGCTGCAGGACTCCAATTTCTACTCTCGCATGGCAGCAGCATTTTAGCTGCTGCACACTCCTGATATTAATTAAAGTGCTCTTCACAATAAATCAGAAGTCTGAAATAAAGTTCCATAGCATTCTGAATTTATTTTATAATATTGTAATTTATTGTTTTCAATATTTTGTAATCTTTTATTACATGAAATTTAAAACAATGTTTATTTTCTTTGACACCAATATCAAGTAATGTTTAGTTCTATGTAAAAAAGAAATTAATATTGAAATCAGTATATAAACACATCAATTGAATTTACTGTGAAACACTTTTGAAATTGCCAAGTAACTCCACAAGGAAGAAAAGTTACAGTGGAACAGCATCAAATATTGTGGCAATTTTTTTGAATAAAAACTTTTAAATTATAAGGCACGTGAAAATGTAATAGACTACTTTCAAATAATACACATGATAAATTAATATTGACATAAATTAATGCTTTTTTGAAATTCAACGTGCAAGAATTTAATCTTCTGGTCCTTCAAAAGAAAATATTACATACAATAATGAAATTATTTCCTACAAACAAATGAACTTTCACATTGTTTCAAAATAGAATACACAATATTGTAATAGAAGTAAAACAAAAAATAGAAAATCTACATATTTGTCTAAGTTTTACTCTCTTTTCAACTCTCGCAAATTCTTCAACAATTATCAAATAAATTTAATAAATAACTGAAAGATCTAACAAGCAAACAATCACAAAGTGCTGCCCAAAATACAATGACTATTGTCAAGTAACCATGCATGTTGTAAGTGCAAACATTCACCACACCTAACTATCCCAACTTTCCCAAAACCATTTGTCAACCTATGCCCTTGTTATTTTTAACAAGCAAAAGCAATTCATACAAAACATACTCTGGGTCTCATGAAGATGAAAAGGAGATAATGAACCATAGGGAAGATAATAAACTTTAATCACTGTTGTAATTCTAATAATAGGCATTCACAGAAAGTTTGGAAAAACGTCAATATGCTAATTAGAAAGTATCAGGTATCATATTTCATTAAGTCACCATGACTTTTATTCTGGTATATTACCTTTCAAAAGGAATACACCATTTGACTTTGATTTTTAAGTATACACTAAATATTTAAATAATTCATTCTCATACATTCATTCAGCTATCTTACATACAAACATGAAGGCATTTATGAAAATATTGCTGCAACAGACAGAATTAGTGTGCTACAAGAACATGTTACATGACAAACAAATAAGAATTGCACAAAAAGACATCCAAAAACTCACTCCCACATATAAAACACTACATTGGCCAACAACAGCCCAATGTAGTCCATCACCTCTGCTACAAAACATTAGGAGCTCTATCACTGATAAAACACAAAATCCTGATCTTTACATAAACATTTACATATTTCACAGATCTCTTTTATCTCAAAATAAGACAAAAAATCTTCATAGCACTAGTACTTATGGTAAATGGTACATTGTCATCAGAACATTGTTCTAGATGCTAATCTTCCTTTCTTTCAAATCTTAAAGGAATGACAAAGTCAAGCCTTGGACATCACTGTTGTAAGTCTACCAAGAAACCACTCATGCTTGTCTCTTGTTGCAAGAAGTCCATCTCTATTAACAACATCTTTGTCATTGGAATAATCTAGTTCATCACCCTTCAATGTAGTCATTTTGCCTTTAGCAGCATTAACTATAGCATTTCCAGCACACACATCCCACTTCTTGATGTTTGTAACATGTAGATACGCAGCAGCTCGTCTTTCAACTACTTCTAATGCTTTATAACCTATTAAAAGAAAAAAGTAATTATTTTACTATTACAGCTAAGATTTAGAAGCTTAGATTATTACAGCTAAGATAAGAATTAGAAAATTATAAAAAAATTTAAATTAAACATTCAAAAAAGATCTCACAGCAAATTATATCCAAGATTCACAGCAACAAATACACTAAAGTAACAATTAACAATGTTTTCACAATATATGACCTGTACTGATGGTCACACCTCTAACCATAATATTAACCTCTAACCATATTAAAATACATAAGAGTGTGGAAAAATTTAAATTATAAAAAAAAGCTCAAATAAGTTTAAATGAAAAAGTAAGAATAAATTTCATAAAATGAAAGAAAATGTAATATGACATCTTAATTTTACAGTGTCCTTGCTTAATGGATATAAAACCAATATTCACTTAACCACACATCTAATTTCAATTTACTTATAGGGAGTGCGGGGATGAATACAACTAAGAACTACATGTAAAAAATAGGCTTTTTTTAACATATTCATATTGATTAATACTTTATCATATTTTTTCCTCTTGTTACAGCACTATGCCTTAAAATGATATTTCATTTTTTATACATAACTGTCACCATGCCGTCACCTTGTTGGATGCTATTATGCTCTGAGAATACATTCCGCAGTCGCAAAGGAATCCAAATTGTGACCATGTTACTGAGTAACAATGCATTCTAATAATTAAATTTGTTCAAAAAATTGGTTGCCCTGACTGGGACTTGAACCCGGGCCTTCTGGATTACGTCCAGCTGCTCTACCTTGCCTTGGTAGCTTAGTGGTCAGAGCAGCTGGCCATAAACCAGAAAGCCTGGGTTCGAGTCCCGGTTAATTTTTTTAAAACTCTTCCAAGATCTGTCCTTATAGCAAGTAATTCATTTGAAGGAATTTCCAGCATTTTAAACATTGTTCAAATGACTCAATTACCCCAGAAATTAAGACTAAGTATGGAAATACTCGACAAGTACATAAATACATTGTAAATACTATTTTTGTTTTGTTCCTCATTGCATCAAGGCAAGGAGTATACATGAAAATATTTAAATTTATAATAGAAATTGAGACAAAGTCTTCATTACTAAGTAGTTAATAAAAAACTTGCCAAGGAATTCAAAAACACTAATCCATAAAATTTAAAATACTGTTCTGTAAAATTATTACAAATACACAATAAATTATAAATCCATAGTTTACACAAATAAAATTCATAAACACACACATGTAATTTTTAATATTATATGTTACAAACATGATTGCTAATTTAATATTACTATTAAATAAAGAACATATTCAACACTCACCAGCCCCAGCTGCTTGTACAATCTCAACAGATTTGTCAAATGCTTTCTCAGTAATGTTTGCAACTTCTCCAGCATGAGACATAGAAACAATAATTTTTAATTTTGACTCCACCTATATAAAAGAAAATGGTTGAAAACAAAACATTTAATGCCATTTTCATTACTATGAGTTAGACAAACATTTATCTTACTGGTAAATCTAAATTCAAATTTCTTGAAAGTCCTTTTTCAACCCAAGCCCAGTATGTACTTAATTTTTCATCAAATGGTTTATGTATAACACCAATTACTGGCTTGCCTTTGACAGCAACACACACCATTGTTGTAACATATTTTAAAAGATTTTCTGAAATGAAAAGATATTTTGAAAATTAACTTCAAATGTAGAAATAAACACAGTAAAACAATAAAACATGTCAGATCCAAATAAATATCATTATCTTTCTATAATGGTGTTTTAAGTATGTAATCAATACCAGTATATTCTTTTGTTGCATCCAAAGGATCTATCCAAACAGTTATGTCATCAACTGATACATTGTCGTCTGGATATTCAATGACATCCTTTGCCACTTGGAGATCAAAATCAAGAGGAGGAACCTCTTGACAGTCTTCTGATTTCTCTTCAGATATGACCTGGAAAGCAGTCAATAGCAAACTATTATATTAATTTAAAAGTTACTGATCATTAAACCTCTAAAAGACTGATTCTACAAAAGCAGAATCATTTCTTTTCAAAAGAGAAACATACAAGAGTAATAACAATAATGCAGTGACTATAGCAGACTAACGCAGAGCAATAAATCAGGTAAAACACACTCACCTTCAACTTTGGAAAATTTTGTTTCAGGCTATAATACATTATACAATGTGATTTATCATCGGCTAGGGTAAGAGGATCATTAACGCCTCCCTGAAGTTTTCCTTTACTGCGTTCTTTAACATCACCTTGCTGTCTAATGTCATGAACCTCCTTGCCCCCCTTCTCTGCTACTTCTATTGCGGCGATCAGTAATCTTTTCAAGTTGATGGTATTTCCTTGCTCGTGTTTAATATCATCCGCCGCACTCTTGCTTTCCGAATTCAAATAATAAAACAACAGAATACATGCTCCTATTATAATACATAATCCAAATTTATTTATACGAATAGTTCCTCCGAAATTCATTTTATCAGAGGAAGTTCACCAGTCTTGTAACGATACAAGAAAAGACACTTCCTCTCTAACGACACACTAGTAAATCATTTTACTTTTGCCAATAATTTAAATTTCTGCAGATCAGAATATTACAACTGATATTGTGTGGCCGAGAAACAATATTTATAAACAATCATTACTTTTAGGTTCGCGTTGCCTCACGAGATGCGTATGACATCAAGTAGCCATTTTTGACGCACTACTACAGTCACTTTTTCCCTGTGCCAGCTGACCGGCGATGGCATCCATGTCACCGTCAGAGGTACGTACTGCCCAGCTTTCCACAGTTTTTTAGTAATTACGGTATTTTATTAGCTTTAGAACATTGAGTGTGCAAAGTAGAGTCTTCGAGCTCACTATGAAGATAATTTACATTACGTAAAAACTTTAAAATTCGGAGAATATGACGACATTGAGGCTTTCGTGTCAAAACAATTGAATGCGTGTTAAATGTCTGTGTTTTGAAGACAATTAATGTATTGTTAGTGTTCATATTGTTTATCAAAGTATGAGTATTGATACAAATTAATTTACAATAACTTTTATTTCTAACTGGATGTTCTTGTATGACATAAGTAGCTAAAAAATTGAAGTGAAGGTGTTAAGGAAAACGACATTATTGGAGTAGTATATTCCTCGAAGACTCGAATTTCGTCGTAAAAACAATTTAGGCACGTGCTTAGATTATGGTAGTGATGTACTTCTTTGAAGAATAAAGCAAGTTTAAAGGAGGTTACTGTCAATTTCATGTGACTAGAGAAATTTCTTTAAACGTGACGTAGGAAACTGGACAATTGCATATCTATGACAGGTATAAGTCAGTAAATGTATAAACAACGGTTCTATAAAGTTTGGTGTTACATTTGTCCCACATTTTGTAAAATTTGAATGTTTCGCTAAATGATGAACTTTGATATATCCAATTTTTTCCCTTCGGTTTCATAGCGCGATTGCCGATCACTTAAAAAGAAGGGACATTTTCTTTATGTAAACGCCCTGTCGCGGAGTCCGGAACGTGTGGTCGTGTGTTGCGGGCCCAACACGGCCCCGCGAAGGTCAGAGTTGTGCAGGCCGTGGTCTGAAGCACCTCGCGGCCGCGCGCGAAGGTCGTCTGCCACGCAGACCAGCAGACGAAGACCAGCGCACGCTAATCAATGTCGCCGCGGTCGCTTACTCCCCGGAACGAGCGGGCGGCCGTGGCCGGACTCGAGGCGGCGACCCGCCGCGCCGCTCGCCCTCGCACCTTCACGTGCGGTGGCAGCAGCGCGCGCCGATCGATCGCGAGACGAGCGGCGTGGGGCAGACAGCCCGTTCGGTCGGTGGGTCGGCCAGCCCATGCGGTAGTCACAGCGCCCCCTAGCCGCGGCAGCCCACCTCTCCCAGGTCTGATGTGATCGTTCCTTCGGAACTGCAACTACGATTGTTGCGCGGTTGGCGGGCGACGCGTCCTGTGCCCCGGATCTGACGGCGAGCCAGTCGAGCATGTTCGCGCGCCCGTCGGCGCCGACGCCCGGTCCGTAGAGGCGGCGGTCCGGGGCTTTTCCCGCCGTGACCGAACCCGGGCCTTGGGTGCTTTCGCAGCCACCGAGTCGCCGCCGAGTCCCGCTTCGCGTCTTCGGGCCCGCAGTAGCGCCCCTCCTTGCAGCGGCCCACTCCCCCATGGCTACGAGCTCATAATGGTCGCACTCGGCGAGCGAGCCCCATGGCGACGAAGAAGAAACCTAGTTCGGATCAGGGTAGCTCCTCCTCCGCGCTGGACTCCTCTCGCTGGGAGGTCAGTTGCTTCTGGGAGGTCAGTTCCTCGTGCGCCCGCACGCCCTTTTCCGCTACCTTTTCGTGCATGCATTGTAAATGAGATCCCTTAGCAGCAGTCGAATCGCATTGCGGCCTCGACTCTCGTGCGCCGCCTTGCCGGGGTCCGTCCCAGTGACCCGAATCGCCGAGAATCGATCGTCTTCTCCCCCCTCACCCTCCTCTCTTCGTTGCCGCCGCTAAGACCGCTATTTTTGAACGACGCATGTTCAGCTGGCGAGGGCCTGCGTGAGGGGGCGTCTGCGGCCGTGCGACTATCCCTCGGGTTGTGTCCTACGCGACAGCAAGGAACGAATGCACCACCTCGACATTCAAACCAGTTCTAACCCAACCCATCCCCATCGTTTCGAAAAATTCCAACATAAGGGAACTGTCTAATAGTGTTTTAGGAATGCCTTCATAAATAGTAAGGAGTCGTTACATCGAACTCTACGAGGCTTGCCATTCTGTGCATGTCCCCGCTTCCTATTGCCGCCAATACGTGATACATTAGTAATCGGTAATAGTTCCTTCAGTGAGTGGCCCGTCATCGGGAGACACAACAATTCACGCTTGTTTGCTTACAGAGACGACTGCAAAAGGAGCTGATGTCCTTGATGAAGGAACCACCTCCAGGTGTAACTGTAGATGCAGAAGGGGCCGGACAGAATTTAACGCAGTAGGTATTTTAGTCACACCTATAATGCCTTAGCGGTAATAACAGAATTTTCATTTACACCTCTTTTCTATTAGATATAAATTATTTACTCTTAGGAAGTTTTTTTCCCTGTAGCTGGACACGCTTAGCAAGTAGTGAAGAAAGTGCTCTAGACATTCTTATTGTTTTTATTGAAATAAGAAAGTTAATTTTTGAATATATTTCCCAAACAAATCATTTCATTCAAACTCTTCAAAACTAAAGAACTGTACCATCACTAAGTGTTACAAATAAGTCTCACTGAAGAGTAGTATCTGAGATATTAGATCAAACATGACCATTATGTCTTCAAACTTTCAGATTTTTGTAGAGCAAAAAGTTATAAATTGAGTTATCAATACCTAGAAAGCATGACAACCATAGGACTTGCAAAGCTTTATCTAGCTTGATTTGTCAAAAACCTATTGAAATCTTAAACATTTCATTTGGATCATTTTTTCCTGTGTTGATCAAATTATAGATTCATTGCACATACGTACGTAGTAGTACTACATATAATCATAAATTTTTAAAATGTCACAAGTTGATTGACATTTGTTGCAGTGACATTTAATAAATTTTTTAAATTTTTATTTTAATGAACAATTACGTTTAAAAATAGTTCATTTTATTAGTTAAAATTTCATAAAGATAGTTCACAAAACAGCAAAATGAAAGGATGCAAAATGCAGGTTAAAACTTTTCCTGCAAAATAGCAATTTTTGTGAGATATCACTTACCTTGAGCAATTATAATGTTTCAGTGCAGTGAAGTCAGATACTCTATCTTTGCTTATTATACCAGGATGAAAAAATGATGAGAGGGACTGTGTTTAGTGCTGTTAATAGATTACCTATTTCAATCAGAGGTGCCCTGTGGGAGTAATGGGCTTGAGGCAGTAGATTCATGGAGGCCCCTTATTTATTATTGATATATTTAAAGTAACATCTCCAGTTAAATTTTGTTTTTTAAAAAAAATGTTGAAGGAAATATATTTTGTATAAATTTTTGGGGTTCTACTTAAGTGGGGGCCTGGGGCAAGTTCCCCTGACTGCTTCACCCTCTGGACCCCCCCCCCTGATTGTAATGAGTGATTCTAAACAGGTGTATATCAAGGGGGAGGGTACTTTGTACCTAAGATTTTTAAATACATGTCCTTCTTCTATTACTACATGTGTATTATTTAATAAAAGCAATTATATAATTTTATGTCATTTATGTAGCCAAAGAAAGATAATTTGCTGTTGCTACAACTGAAGCTTTTTCCTTTAAAAAGCATTTGTTGTTCTGTATTTGCTTTTGCTTCATTAATGGATGCACTTCTGATAGTGTATTTATTTTTTTAACTATAATACATATTACCAAATTACTTTATTAAGTATGTTTTTCTTTAATATTTTTCAGATGGATTATTCAAATGGACGGAGCTCAAGGGACGTTGTACGAAGGGGAACAATTTCAATTACAGTTCAAATTTAGTCCAAAATATCCCTTTGATTCACCAGAGGTATGATGAATATTTGCTCTTGTTTGGTGATACAAAAATAAGTGGGTAAATAATACATTCTTCCAGGTGACTTTCATTGGTCCAAATATTCCCGTCCATCCACATGTGTATAGTAATGGCCATATCTGCCTGTCCATCTTGACAGAAGACTGGTCACCAGCTCTCTCAGTCCAGTCTGTGTGCCTCAGCATTGTATCCATGCTTAGCAGCTGCAAAGAGAAGGTATAAATTTACTTTTAAAAAACGTTTTATTAATTCTGATGTGTCAGTCATGTAGCTTCACTGAGTGCTGCATCAACCATTTTCCTATTTTTCTAGTACCATATTCTAAGGCAGGGGTCTTCAGCCTGGGTTCTGCAGAACCTTAGGGTTCCTTGGAACCTTGGCAGGAATTCCATAAGTGATCACTATTTGCTCAATATATGAAAAATGGAAATTCTCTGTATAAAGAATTTTTCATGTAAGAATATGGTAGTGGATTGTCTTATTAAAATATTAGAGTAATATAATATTTTAGTAACAATAGTAACATAACAATAGTAATATAAATTGGATATAAAAAGTCTATTCAGACCTGATGATGATTGTGATGATTGTGTGCTTTGTATGCAAGGTATTGCAGTTGACAGTATTGACTTTCAGATTGCATCATTCATTGTTGCATCTTATTAGTGATCAATAAAAGCATTTGTAGAGTGAAAAGTGTTGCAGGACAGTGCTCTGTACTGCACACCCTTGGAATAAAACATGTAGTTGACATTGTTGCCAATTTGTTACATGTACTTCACTTATTAAGCAATAGATAATATGTAACATAAAATTCAAAATTGTGTATTACACAAATAATATAATATATTGTATATTCTTCACATTATATTTGTGTAATGCAGTATAGTATTAGTATAATTCAATAGATTCTTTTGATCATGTAACATTTCTTTAGAAAGATATGTGCACCCAGTGAAACATGACATGCTCTTATTTGTGTAATTTTTTTTTCATGCACTCAATTTTGTATATCTTATGAATTTTTATCTATCACTGAACTCCTAACTAATCTCAGTTTCAGTGGTTTATTGGAAAACAAAGTCGAACTGGATGAGCATTAAGGAATTAGTTTCAGGTCGCTACCATTTTAGTCCTGTGATCGTGTTCTATGATTAGATTACGCTTTCATTGGAAAAAGTGTTATTTTTCAATAAAAATGTGTTCTGATTGTTCCAAATGAAAAAGCCTTTGAATACTAAAAAAAATTATATTTCAAAGATGCATCAAAGAGTGCAGCATGCACTTTCTCATGACTTCCAAAGGGTGAAAACTATAAAGAAATGTTTTCAGAGTTTTTTGTAGTTTGTTTGTTGATGAGTTATTTTGGATTCTATTATAAGTTTAATTTTAAAATTCCTTTTACAGAAAAGGCCTCCGGATAATTCTTTCTATGTTAAAACGTGTAATAAAAACCCAAAGAAGACTAAATGGTGGTATCATGGTAAGCCAACTGTAATTTTAATCGAAGTTACAAGTTTCGTATTGCAAATGAAAGGTATTAACATACATTTTCTTCCAGATGATTCTGTGTAAAAGAAGCTGTGATCTAGCTCTAAGATAGACTATAATACAAAATACAACAAAATATGTTGATTTCCTAAGCCTGAAATTTATCAGGAAATCTTTGGATTATCACACGTTGTTGAAGTCAAGACTTCAGTTGTGAAGACCTATTTTTCATTCATCACAGTGTTTGTGGTTTTACATCTTCAAGTTTGTCACTTCAGAAGCATTGTTGAACTTCAACCAATTTCATAAAAGCACTCAGACAACCAAAAATCTTGCAGTGTGTTTTGTAGGTGCATGTGTTGCGTTGTGTACAAGTTTCTGAGCAGGGATATCTGTACTTGTTGTATATATGAAGAAAAATTCAAGACAAATTCCATGTGGCATTTTTAATATGACTAGAAGACTGATGTGAGGAATAGAGTCAGGTGCTTTCAGCAGCAGCTGTCCACAGTGCTTCCTCACACTTTGCAAGGGATGTAGACCCTGCTAGCCTGGCCTAGGTTCCTTTTGTTTGTAGTTTTGCTGTTTTATAGTCCTTTGTGAAACTTATAAACTATTTTGTGTGTTGTTTCATGATGCCCTACAATTTTTCACCCCGCTTTATGACTCTGCACTTGCTTTTTATATGAATTAAAAAGAGAAAGACATATATTGTCTGCTTTTTGTTCTAAATTTACATCTCCCAGACAACAGTACATTCTTGTAAATATGATCTAAGAGTTCCAAAAATGCCATTTCCAACTTGATTTCTCTTTTAAACTTCAAGAATAATGAAAAGGGCAGGGTACCTTAATTCTAGCAATAAGGACAGTATTAAGATACCAACAGTTTCAAATAGAGCAACAACTGTGTCTTTGAGATATTTAATTTCATATTCATTTATCAATAAAAAACTAGTCTACAAATTTTGGATAGTTAGGTCAACAATCTAGAGGTGAGATCCTTGTTTTTACTCTGCTCCAAATGTTTCTTTTAGGATACACCTAAGGCAATGAGCTGCCTCAACCTGCATAGAAGCATTGAAGTTTCCCTGGCATGTGGATCCGAGTCGTAAATGGATCAGATGATTTTGGTACTTCAATTGAATATGTATACATAGTGTGTTCTCCATCATTCAAAATCTGGCAAATTCTTCAAATATTTTTTTCAATTCTGTTTGTCTCTAACTTAACTACTATAGATAATACCAATAAAATATAAAATGAATTCTGTAAACACCATGGGGTATCTGTACTTTTATACCTAAGTCATAAATATACCTCCTCTAGGCACTGGTAGCGTAATCACATTTGTGATTCCGGTGTATTGACAATACTGACTATCGAAAGTTTTAGTATTACCTGTTGGAATCTTCAATAAGTTAAATGATTATGCATTTTTACTTGATTTTTGTATTTAGCTGGGAAGCCATTCCATTCTTTTTCGAATTACATGTCTCATCTTAGTAATTCTCCTGGGAAATGGATGACTCTGGACATATAAATAATACAATTATAATTCTATTTTCTTTGTAATGTATTGTATTTATGAAATTCATAGATACTCTGTACTAAATAAAATAAATCTTATTGTAGTTAATATGCTTATTCTATGAACTGTAAAAACAAAGAATATGTAATTTTATCTTCACATTTTGCTGTTACAATAATTGAAATTATCCATTTCCGGTCCCACAGTAACTTTTCTTACTCTCTTTCTTATAAAGTTTTGTACAGATTCTCGTTGAGTTATCAATTTTCTAACAAGTTAACGTGGCACAGACTATTTTGTATCCATTACTTGGTTAATACATGCATTACGTTCTGATATTTCATATAGTTCAATAGTGCACTGTTGAATCTTACCAGTTCTGACCTTGTTCCAAAGCCGTATTTGCTGCATGGCCACACAGATGTAGCAAAGGCAGCAAGATGACCAGTGTCACACTCAGATAAGTTCATTTTGCCCATCTGACAATGAAATGTGTAGTTTCCAAGTTTTAAGTGATAATTAACATTGAAATCGATGTTACATGATTGTTGTAGTGAAGATATTTAATCATTGCCATGTGAAAATGGTGAACTAATTGGAGTCTGCCGCGTGAGAAAGTGACCTAAGGTGGGTGTCAGACGTGCGTTGCGTTGACGCACGTCACGTAACGCTGATGACGTCGATGCATGTGCACACGAGTCACGTATCGTAGATTATCACAGTATCTATCTTAAGGCGGCTCCACACATTCGGCATTCGCCGAGCAGCGATCTACTACTCGCCCAATCCCGAACAGCTGATGTGCTCGGCGAATGTTCGCTCCCTTTGACGTGTCCTAAAGACCGACACGCGGTGGGTAGGGTGAAACTGAACGTTCGACGCTCGGCGGATCGCAAGCAACCCGTCCATATTACTCGGAATTTGGCGAGCGGTTGCTAGGGGTTCGCCGAATGCTGCCTGTGTAGAGCCGCCTTTGCGCGAAATGGCACACGAGCGTTCTTGACTGTGCGTTGTGGCCAACGTACGTCGCCTAGCGTCGCGCTTGAAAGCTAGAAGACGCGCGATATCTTGACTTTCGTTGTAGCTTGAGCTGTGGGCACAACGCACATTGACAAGAGCGCTCGTATTCCGTTTCGCATACGATAGTGTTATCTACGTCACACTTTTAAGTGACTCGTTTGCGCAGCCATCGACACAGCTGATATCATCAGCGTTAAGAGAAGTGCGTCGACGCAACTGTCGTGACAGCCCTTTCCACCATCATTGAAGTTAGAACACGGGCTCTCGGGGTAGACTGCAGTTGGGCCACTATTGCTCTTATATCCTTTAATAATCATTTGTTAATAATATTTACAATTATTGTTTCATGCATTATTCACTAATTGTAAGTAGACTGGAATCCTAATGCACATTTCATTGACTGTGTAGTCTCAGGAAGCCAATGTCTCTAAACTCTCCATGAATTAAGAGAGTTTGTGCACTGCGCATCATGTGTATTTCTGTATATATTTTGTTTTAGTGATCATTTTTCAAAAACACTTGTTTATCAAAATGAACATTAAATATGGTTTGATATTTTCATGCATGTTTTATGTATAACTAAGAGAAGTTTGCCACATTGTCCAGGTATTTTTTTATCACATTTGTCTATTAGATGAGAAAAGTAATGAATTATATCTACTGTGCTCTTCACTGTCCAAACCTGACCTGACCTGGCCATGACTACTCATCTGCTGCGTTTCCTCCAATCACAGTTGCTAAGGGAAGTTGTTAATAGATGTAATATTGCATACTCCCACCAAACTTTCAGTAACAATTTTAACCTGAAAAAAGTGGATTGAAACAAATTTAAAACCATTTAGTAGGAAATTTTATTAGCTTTAAGAAATATTAAATATACTTTGATGGATTTCCTCACCCTTTTCGAAATATTGGCAAAAAATAGAAAGAGTGCACTGTTTAAATTTTGCTATTAGGGGAAGGAGATTGTGGGTAGATCTTATAAAATCTCTTATGGACATAACTTTTCTCATTTTGAAGGTCACATGTATCAAATTGCATGAAGATTACAATAAAATTGTCATTTGAATAAAAAATCAAGCATTCTTCCTTATAAAAAAGAAAATAATAATTTGAAAAAAATGTAGCCAAGTTATCTGACAAAACACACTCTTTGAGAGAAAACTACATGGAAATCAGTTAAGCCATTCCAGAAATTACTCCTGATGGACAAATAAAAATCATAAAAACAAAGAATGGTGTTTTACATCACCTAAATAGGCATATGAGCAGAGAAAACTTGTGCATTCAGTTCACACCATCACCCATTACTGATTTATTGCAGCTTATGGAGAGTTGCCAGTGACCAGTGGGGAGAAGTGGCAAGAAAAATCAGATAGAAAAGGCGATGATTTTTTTAGATACACCACCGTACTTGAGGCATTCCAGACATTGTTTAATACCAGTGGTTGTGTTACTTTTGTGAGTGGAAGTTGCTAAATTAGACAAATTTGGTTGGACCTTCTTTGGTCTTAATAGTAAATTTCACAATATTCATTTATACAACTTTTCAAAGTTCATTTTACTGACACTTTGTTGTCAATTGAATTCTTACAAAATATTTGATAAATGTACAAAATCATTAAGTGAAATGTTTGCATGCCATTTTGTAATGCTAATTGATTCCACGTAGTTTTTATTTATGAAATTTTCAGCAACTAAATTGTTATTCCAGAACGGTTCGATACAGGAAATTCACCATTACTTTGAATAAGAATTTTTGACTTGCAAGTTGAAAAGCAAAATAACTTTGATAATTATATTACAAAGTGTCTTGGAAAAGAAGTTCAGTGAAGTTGTTTTTATTATTGGTGTGTGTATTTCCTCAGTCAATAGAAAGTGACATTAGAAGAGGGATGGTTTCGTTGTCCTTAAGAATTGTGAGCATATTAAATATATCAAAGGTCTGGTACATCCAATCATTAATTTCCTATCAGAAGAAAACTGCAGCTCCGACGACTTGAAATCATCGCGCGCGCACGATGTATGTATATGTGTGTGTGTGTGTGTATGTGTGTTTGTATATATATATATATATATATATATATATATATATATATATATATATATATACACACACACATACATACTTGGGTTGCTGGGAAAGTTTCTGGAAAGGATATGAAAAAGCAATACTGAAATTTGGTAAATGGTTTTATGGTTTTTCGAAGTATTCGTCATTGTTACACCTGCTCAAACTAGTTTGTGAAGCAGTCTCCCGCCCCTTTCGTTTATTACGTTCCCTTATACGTAGTATAGGGAAGGTTATGTAATGCTGCGGAAAATCGATTTCGACGGAAATACACTTTTGGAATCCTCATATATCGAAAAAGTGGTTCTTTTGAAAACGTCCGACTATTTGTGAAAATCCTTAACTACTAAACCATTCGTCCATCTGGGTCGAGTTGAAACTTTGGGATTTTGAAAAACATTCTTCGAAATTTGGGCGTCCTTTAACATGAGGCTCTCCAGACATTTTCAAAATTTTCTCAAAAGCGGCTCCAATTTGTTTTTTTAATTTCTTGTGAGAATAGAATAACATACACTTATAATGGTGGAATAGGTCCGATTATCATGGATAACTTAATTTTTGAAAATTTCAAAAGTATGAATTTTTTCGGTGTCTTCTTACAAATACAAAATTAAATATAGAGATTTTTCCTTCAAATAAAATTTGTTCTCCATAATGAGTCATTTCATTAAGGTCTTGTACATTTTTTTGTTGAAGATTTTAGATTTCGCACAATATTGCGTGTTATTTTAAAAAATTGCAAAAACAAGTTTTTCTCGAAAACTGCTCTAATTTGTTTCTTTAAACTTAACGCATATTGCCATATTCTTTTGTTGTTGTTTTTTTTCAAAAATTATACAAATGTATTTTTTTACTTTCTCTCATGTCGTTAATATTTATATTATCGGCAATATGTTCACATTATTGTACTTATGAGTAGATGTGCTTTAAATAATGTTATGTGAAGTTTCTCAAAAACTCAACCGTTTTCTGTGAACACTAGCTCAAAATTTGTCATTTTCAGAAGTGCTCAAACGCCATTGTTTAAAAAACGACTCCAAGTAGTTTCTTCAAACATTTCGAACGGATAATGCTAATTCCATTAATTTTTTTATAAAGTTCATTTCGGTGCTTTTTTTTCAATTTTATAAATTAAATTTTTTGAAAGATTTCTCACGCCGTTGATAAACATATTTTCACCAATTTGTAAACACTATGCTATTTCTGAGTTAAAGTACTAAAAATGACTTCAAATAAAGGTTTTCGAAAACCCAAAAAGTTCCTGTGTAAGAGAGCTTCAAATTTCGAATTTACAGTAGCGTTTAAACGTCGGATTTTTAAAACCACCTCCAAATTTTTCAAAGACAATATCCATTCAGGACGAGGTTTTACTGTTCTTTAATAATCTTGAAATAATATTTCCGTCCTACAACTAGAAAACCGAAAAATTAAGAAAATGTCAAAAAACTATACTTTGGGCGGTGATAGATGGTATCTGGCAAGAATATGTGGCAAGTCCAAGTACCTAACCGAGAGACCAAAGGAAATATAAAACTTATACGGGAAAGTCTGTGACATTCTGTAGCACCACTAGTTTTTTATTATTCCACCGATGATTTTGATACCGACGGCAAACAAATTGTGATGTACCAATCAGCGTTTACTGTTTTTCCATTGTCGAATATCACGGTTGCTACCTGTCCAGTTAGTCCAAAGAAACAAGCGAACATTGCTTTGCAGCACAGCGTGAACGGACTTTTGTTGGTATGAGCTCATCTTGAAATTCCCCCAACTGTAGATTCCTTTTTACTTTTTTGTATACGTATGTATATACGGAGTAATATATGTAGTATATTGACGCCTTTTTTTGTTGTTGCTTTTGTCGAGTAATGTGGAAACCAACAGCTACGTAGCTTCTGTTCTTTCAAATTATCATGCAAAATCGTGTGTTGCTTTCATGTCAATGGCCAAGGATTCTCGAATCTCTCGGTAGGTCACATGCCGATCTCCATTAATCATTTTGGTACAACATCAACATTAACATAACAGTTTGTAGGACGACCTTCATGAAGTTCGTCAATGAGTGATGCGTACACGCTGAAATTTTGCAAATCAATTGTAAACACTGCTCTTGAATGGAGCTTCATTCACCAAAGCACTGCACGTACGTGTTCACGTGAGATTTCAATTTTCACACGCAGCTACTTTCTTGAAAATGCTGTGTACAAAAAACTAGATCACTATGGTAAGGGTTTTTGTTGAATTATGGGTAACAAATACCACATTTTACTAACGTGACAGTTAAAGTAAGCTCACACGACATTGCCTACTCAAGGTGTAAATTTCCACCATGAGTCTAATAGATTTCAGAAACTTTTCCAACAATCTCCGTAAAATTGTCAGTGATAAAGTTGATAAGTTGTAATATGCGTTAAAGAAGTTGGGTTAAGTTAGCAACAGAATCACCAATTTGCCCCCGCTTCGCTGGCATATTTCCAAGCCAACGGCGAGGCCCTGGCCTTCGTGATTAACAAAACAAACCTTGTGTCAAGCATTTTATTATAGCAATATTTTATTATATGGCAATGGCTTAACATGACAAATTTTCCTCGCGTAACCACTTATGAAGTATTTCGTAAATATGCGCAGGGGCACATAGAAGGGGTGGGGGGCTGGGGCAACTTGCCCTAGACCACAATTTAATGGGGACCCTGAATTTTTTCGTTCAAAAAAGAAAAGTATTTACTTATTCATATTAACTATGTTATTTGTGTAGTATGGAGACATTAATTATTTTTAAGTATTGGGAGGGGCGGAACTTTTGTTTGAAACAAGGAGCCCTCGTTGATCTACCTACCGTGGATGCCATAGTCTTCCTGTTTTCGCCACACTTCTGGGCATGTTCAATTTACCCATATTGCTATCTTTATCTTAGTCTTCCCAAAAAAACTTGCGCCCAGTTCCCTCCGTCTATTGATTTTTAATTTTAACTACGAATTACCCAAAATCTAATCTATGCTCTCTCGGAATTAATTAAAATGTATTAAGAAAATAATATTGAATTTTTGAAAATTCTGGTACAATTTTATCGATTGTCTCCTCACAATTGTCAAGATATTTGTTGCGAGAAATGAGAAGGAATGTGAGAAACCTGTCCGCCCATTAGCAAGCATGAAAAGCAACCATACCATTCCTAGCAAAAAGAGAGTTCAACAAAATGTGCACATAGTGAAGCTACATTTACGTCCAGAA